CAACAATGTCTGAATAAGCTAAGAGCGAAGGAGGATTGTTTCCATAACACAAGTTTTAATTGCACCGAATACAATGGTGGAGTGACAGGCAGCTGTGCTTACAGCCCAGGCTGAGCTGTTTGGCGGCAGCACATGACAAGCCAAACGCCGCCGCCTCCGTTTTCCCAGCTCATCGCGGACTCTGCAGGACAGGGAGGCCGATGTGTGCCTCTCACAAAGCCTGCCCAAGCTTAGGGAGTTGCACAAACGTTTCAAAACTAACTTTAAAAAGGACTCACAAAACGAGCAGAGTCACAAGCAGGAAGTGTAGTCAGCATGTCTCCCCTTTCCTCTCTCTCTCTCTCTCTCTCTCTGGAGGCCACAAAGGCCTGGGGCCTTGTGACAAACCAGGAAGGGCCACAGCATTAAATCACGGAGGGAGCAGTCTATAAACTCCTGGCCGAGAGTTGCTCTTTAGGGAGGCGGCTGACTAGGTGGTTGAGGGCTGGAAGAGGCTCCTCACCAGCTGGGAGTGACCCAGAAGGGCCTCTCTGACCTGCTGGCTGCTGCTTGTCCAAATCTGCCACTGCTGCCAAAGTTGATGGAGCAGCTCTGCCCTTGGGGCTGCTCTTGGCTTCTGGGCACAGGGCAACCCCCCTCTTAGGCCTCCAAAGAGGGGAAGGCAATGCCATGGGAACATGGCAGAAAAAAGGGTGCCAGGCCAGGTTTTCACTGTGATTGGGTGAAAGTGGGGAAAAGCTCCTGGAGCAAAACTTGCAGGTGCCAGTCCAGCCTGGAGGAGCACCCTCTGCTTCACTGCCAGGGCTTCCAGGCACAGCTTGAGGTCCTTCCAGCCATGGGGCTGAGGGAAGTAGGGTTAGGCTGCTTGGGAAGCTGAAGGAGGGAGGTGGCATCACCCTTAAACTGCCCTGAGTGAACTGCTGATATTGATAGTAGACATCAGAAGGAACCCAGGGTGGAAATGGTTGAATGAATAAAATCAATGGGAAAGAAGTGCCAAACAGAACAACAGAGTTGGAAGGGACCTTGAAGGTCTTCTAGTCCAACCCCTTGTTCAATTAGGAGACTCCATACCATTTTCAACAAATTATTGTCCAGTCCCCCCTTAAAAGCCTCCAGTGTTGGAGCATCCACAACTTCTGAAGGCAAGCTGTTCCACCGGTTGATTGTTCTCACTGTTAGGAAATTTCTCCTTAATTCCAGGTTGCTCCTCTCCTTGATTAGTTTTCATCTGTTGTTTCTTGTCTTGCCCTCTGGTGCTTTTGAAAATAAGTTGACCCCTGGTTCTTTGTGGCAGCCCCTCAAATATTGGAACACTGTTATCATGTCACCCTTAGTCCTTCTTTTCACTAGACTAGACGTCCCTAATGAAAAGAAGAGGGCCTGGCAAGCATTTTCTGGCCCCTGTGCCACGAAGAGTTGCTACATGTGGTTGTCTTTCCAAAGCCAGAGGCTGTACTGTGCATTTTTGCTTAAAACTCGAAATGACCTGTTAGACCATTCCAAGGTCAGGATGGTTCATTTGCCTGTCGCATCTGAATTCCTGCTGCAGCCATGCTAGTGGCTTGGAGAAACATCTTGGAACTTCTCCCAACTGACCCAGCCAGGGTGACAGTTCCTCCTCCCTGCTGTCACCTGCAGTAGGTAGTCAGATGGTGCATCTCTGTTCTTGGGGGGGCAGGGGAGGGAGGAATCCAGCTATCTAGCAATTTTGGGTGACTGGAAGCTGCATCCACTAGCAGGACACAGCTGGCTTCCATTCCCGAGGTTCCTTCAGAACCAACTGAGTGAATTCAGAAGGTCAGTCTCTGCCTCCAGATCTGGCTTTGGGTGGGTCTTTGGTTGGGTTATTTGAACCACTAGAAAAGGAGGGCACACTGTCCTTTCTCTGGTCCAAGTGGGCCTTGTGGGCAAGGGTGGCCACCAACTGTCCCAGGAACTGCCTCTTGGTCTCTGACTGATAAACCCCAGCAGATCATCTTGTGTGAGATTGCTGCAAGGCCTGGGGGGAGCTATAATGGCCTCAACCTGTCACATGCAAATGTGGCCTTGCTTCTTTCCTCCTGCCTCCAGTTCTCTGGGCTCCCTTCCGCTCTGCCTCCCCAATGCCAGAGCCTTCCTTATCATGCCCACCACTCGGTTTCCCTGCCCTTTCTCAGCCTTGGAAGGCAATCCCTGCAGAGAAGACCAGCCACAATCAGGACTGAATCATGTCCCCAAGGATTTCTCAAGGTAGCCACTACAGAGATGAGCAATCAGGTCACCTTGGCTGCAGGCTGCTTCTAGGAGGAAGAACCTGTGGGATGTTCCCCTGTCCTGGGTGGAGAAACTGCTGGTGGCCACCGTGGCAGTCAGCCCCAGGTCATGCCTCTCCCAGGAGGAAACCACCATGATATCATGTCCGGGCGAAGGGCACTCCAGGAGCTTTCTGTCCCCTGGCTGGAAATGGGTGTGTGCTGCTCCTTGGGACAGAAAGAGGGGTCCCTGGTGGTTTCAAAGCTTGGTTGTTTTCTTGCAGACCGTTCATTACCCAACCAGATAACATCATCAGTACTATTGCAGAAAGGCTTAATCAGTTTCCTCTTTCTCCCACCCCACACCTCTTCATGCCTCATCTCCCCCTCCCCCCAACACAACTTGGGTGCAGAGCTCGGCCCTTTCTACCCCTGGGGGTGGCTGGAAATTAGGAAAACAAAACAGCCCAAAACACCAACAAACACAAGGAGGACAAAACTGACATTGCAACCTGAAATACTATTTACTGGAAGGCGTTCATGCACGTCAACCCTCACCTGGTGCTGCCAGCCAATCTTTCCTGAAAGACCTTGAGATGTCCCATGGGCCGGGTGCTGCCCTGCCTTGCCCACCAGCGCGTTCTGTGGGTGCCTCTCTTTGATTTACAGGAGAGACTTGTACAAGGGGGGGGCAGCAATGGAGGTGTCAGTGAGTGCCAAGGGCTGACTTTCTTGAAGTAGAGATTTGGTGGGAAAATGTGGCAGGATGGAAGCTCCATGGAACTTGGGCTCTTCTGCCCAGGCAGGGCTTCCTGCTTTGCAGCAGGGCAGAATCGCAGCTGAGCAGGAACAGCAGGGATGAGTCCCTTGACATTTGGCTGGCAGTGAGGAAGGGGAGCCCCTCTCCTCCATGGGGGAGCCCCGAGGCTGCTTCCCTTGAGCCTTTGCCACAAGTGGTTGCTGGCAGCTGGGAAGCGGCCAGGCCCACCAGACCCTCCTCGCCTTGTCTCAGCACTCGGCAAGGGGAAGCTGCTCTTTCTGGCTTGGGCACAACCTTCATTGGTGAAGTTGGGCATAATTGCCTCCTTCAGGATGGGCAGCCTTTGCTTTTTGTGCCTCTCTCAGGACACCGCCCAGGTCCGTGACAAATGCCATCAAGTGGGGTATTCTCACAACACAAACTTTGTTGCCATCAAACTTGGCTCATTTCTGTTTTGGACAGCTTAGCAGCCTTCTCAACTGTGTGATGGCCTGGTGCATTGAACAGAAAATGATCATCTCGGAGACCAATGGCGAGGGAGAATGTAACTATAGGATCTCACTCCTTGCCAACTTGATCCAGAGGGCATTGAGCTGGATTCTAAATCCATTGGCAGCCTCCAGCAGGATTTATGTGGAAACCTGAGCCTTGAGGGGGATACTGGTGGATGGATCTTTCAGAGCTGATGGCTTTTTCTGACAAATCTGTGGGAGGGGGAGGGGCATCCGCATGGGAGGTGGGTAACGGTGCAATGGTGGATCTTCCAAAGGCCACGACCTCTGAGCTTCCATCAGATGTCCTGATGTAAATGCATCATTGTGCTTTCTGTGGAATTACAACATTGTGCAAGTGTTGGCCTTCTGAGTCTTTGTGGCTTTCCAAGGGGGCTGATGTGTGTCTGTGTGGGAGAAGTGATTCCTCATGTGAGGTTCAGCCCTTTTGTCAGGGAGGGAAGCACTGAGCACTCTTGAAGCACCTGCCTTCAATGCGGGAGGGGGAGGCAGAAATGTGGTGGCACACATTGGGGGCTCCTGGAGGCCATTAAAACAGTTGATCAGGGAACTGTTGAGGCTGGTGGGCAACCTCCCCACTTGCCTGGCCCCTCCCCTCCCAGCCCAGACATTGCTGCTTGTCTCCACAGCTACAAAGGTGACCCAAAGCCACACACCCCACACGCTGCTCTGCCCTTTTGGGGTGAGGTGCACATTTGCCTGGGACCCTCCCCCCTTTGAGAAGGCTGAATTTTCAGCAGCTCTGGCATGGGGGAGGGCCCTTCCCCCCACCCCACCCCAATTCCCCAAAGAAGAATCAGAGAGCCACACACACTGCTCCATCAAAGACAAGTTTATTGGCCTTCAGCCTCGGCTGCCCTCCTCTGCAGTGGCCGCTGTTGAGGCGCACAAGGCTGTGCAGGAACCGGCCTCCTCCATCCCTCCGGCTTGCGCTCTGCATCTTCCTGACAGTCGCAGGGCTTGGGGGCTGCTGCTGCTGCTGCAGGAGGTGCATTCCAGGGAGTGGTAGGGCATTGTCCTTCTGAATGCAGCTGGCCTGTGCAGGGTTTCCAGGACCAGGCAAAATGTAGCCAGTCAGGCAGAGGACTTAAGGTCAGCAACTGCCCTCCTCTCAGGAACTGGCCTCCCCCTCAGCCAATGAGCCAGCCTTAGAAGCTTACCCCTTGGCTGCTCCCCAGAGATGCCTGGAGCTCTCCTGGACCACTCACTGGCCTCCAGGATGGGGCAATTCGGCCACCAGTGGGGCTTCCCAACTGAGAGAGAAGGCAGCTCCTGTCCAGAGTTCAAGGCCATGGACTGGGTGCCATTTTGCCTGACTGTCCCGTCCGCCATCCTCACGCGTGGTAACAGCAGGCCCCCCACAAGGGCAGAGGTGAAGGGAAAGCACACACCCGATCGAGTCTCTTGCACAGGGAATTGCTGTGTTGCTGGTGTGTGGCTTCAGGCCTCCAGCGGCAACCCAAATCCCGGGGCTTTCCGTGGAGACCGCTGGCCTCACTGGGCCCTGACCTCCAGGGTGTCTGCCAACTGCTCCGAAAAGGGGCGGATGTGTCGCAGAGTGTTATAGTTGGGTGGGGGCGTTTGGGGCGGGGGCAGCCGCATGGCCGTGTTGAAGGTGGGGGGGTCATCGTCATCCTGGGCGCAGGCAGCGTTGTGGTACCCTTGCTCTGGGCTGGTTGGGGGTGCGCCATCCTCCTCTTCTCGGTCCTGCGTGCTTGATTGCCCTCTCCACCACCGCTTGGCCTTCTGCCACTGGTGGCGCAGGACAATGCAGAGCGTGTCCAGGAAGAAGACCTCCACAATCTCAATGACACAGACCACCGAGCAGCTCATCCACAGCCCCAGTTGGCCCCCAAAGTTGGATAGGAGCAGGACAATCTGGGGGAGGGATGCGAGTGTCACTCCGGTGACCGCCAAGAAGGGCGGACAGACTTGCCCCTAACTCCTGAACCAGATCCAGGCCCTTAGTCCTGCTGCCACCACTGGGAGACGCCTGTTGCTCGGAGGGCAGGGAGGGCAGATGGATTGGATGCCCTCCCCTGCCTCTCGGGAGGGGAGGGATGGGTTCCGGGGGGGGGAATTGGGTCCCACAAAGTGGAGCAGCCTGGAACTCGTCAAGGGGAAAACTTACATTGTTGGCTGGGTTTTCGGTGATGAACCTCTCATTCAGATCTTTGTAGAACACCACGAGATTTGCCAGGTCTGTCCTGGAAGGGAGGGAGGGAGGGGTTAGGGTTAGGAGGGGAGCAGCCAACGAGCCCCCCCAGGTCAAAAACAGCCTGAGGGCCGAAAGGTTCTGACAGTTAAAAAGGCAGGAGGAAACTTACTTGTTTAACATCTTGTGGCCCTTTAGGCCTTTGTCCCAAGAGAGAACTCGAAGGATCCATTCCTTCCAAGGAGGAGGAAAAGAGAGAAGGAAGGTGAGTGGAATGGGTTTGTATGCTTCTCCCTCCCACCCCCAGACTTTGCTGCTCTCAAGACCCTCTTAACCCTCCCAGCCAGAGCCAGAGCCAGTGCATGTGCCCCCTCCCCAGTTGGCCTCCTCAGAATGGTCACTGGGGTGGGCAGTGGAGCTGTCCGTCCAGGCAGGCCCCAACCCCATTTCCACTGGTTGCTTCCCCTCTTCAGGAAGCGGGAGGCTGACAAGGTGATGATGCCCTCTGTGCTTCTGGCACAACCGCCTCTTTGCCGCACCCACCAGACCCCGGTTAGGAGCCTCTTGAGATGCCACTGAGTGTGGAAGGGCATCCCTGGCAGGCATCCCTCGGCCGAGCAGGAACTTGCCTCAGACACGCTGGACGGCCACTGGGCCAGGCTGGTGGTGAGGGCCCACTCCTTCAATCTGCAGAGAGAGGCAGCGGCTGAAGAGCTGGGAGCAAGGGGGCTCCAAATGCAGGCAGTGCCTTCCAGCTCCCTCCCCAGTTTTTACACACAAACACTCCATGCTGGTTCAGTGCTTAAAAGCACAGGTGTTTAAAGTGCCCAGAGCAGTGCTAGAAGTGGCTCTTATTATTCCCAACCTGACACGATGGGGAATTTCTAGTGCTGGAACAGGCCCTGTGCGGACATAAACCTGGGTCTCTGCTGGACCGGAATGATCCAATTGAAAAGCAGAGGGGAAGGTTGGCAGCTCATTGGCCCTTTGGGCTTGGAAGCATCGGGCAGGGCAAGATTATGGGTGATCTCCACTAGGCTGCAGATGAACCCCAAAAGAGCTGTTTGCCTGAGCAGGGGCCACACTGCACAGCTTTTCACAAAGTCTTTCCTGCAGGAGAAGAGGGGAAGCTCTGAGTTTTCTCCAGGAGAGGCAGATGTGACGGAATGGAAGCCGCTGCTTTTCAGAGGCTGGCTTTGTGGTCCTAAGGTCTTGGGGACTTCCAGCAAGAACTTACTTGCAAGCTTCTCTGCAGATTTGCTGGCAGCCCAGCTGCTCTTTCACAAACCGTTCGTGCAGCTTATAGTAGCAGTACACTGCAGGGGAACAGGAAGGAGCGTGATGGAGGATGGAGAGAGGGAGGGAGCCAAAACTTCACCAGGGCCCCGGAGGAGAAAGCGCCTTGGGGGGAGCCTGAGAAAGGGCAGAAAGAGACTCACCTCCAATAGGGCAGGGGTCTCTCAGAACCTTCTTTTCAAAGCTCGGGCAGGGAAGGCGAAGCAGAGGTGGGCAGGCTGGAGGCAGCCCCAGGAAGCAGGAAGAGTTTGTCTTGGCTGCCACTTTCAAGGGACCTCATGAGACTCTAAAGTCGCCTTTCTCAACCTCAGTCATTTTAAGATAGTGGACTTCAGCTGGAGAATTCCGGAAGTCCATGCGCCTTAAAGTGGCTGAGGTTGAGAACACTGCTCTAAAGCCAGATCCCAACAGCCTGAGATCCGTTCCTGTGAAGGATCCTCTAACCTCCTGGGAAGACTTACTCCAATTGGGGTATTTTTTATAGTTGCAGAATTCGGCTCCGGCAGGCAGGGGCTGAGCGTACTGAGCACATCCGCAGGTTTTCACCATCGAATTCTGGAAGCAGGAATGCAGGCAGATCTGCACCGGGTGAAATTAAATGCTGGTGAAATCTGGTGAGATGCACACCATGGTCTTTTCCCTCATAATCCCTAGCAGCCATGGGAGGGGGGAGGGGGGGAGGAAAGAGGGGGAGGCCCACAGGGCTCAAGGCACAGCCTGCTTTGCTGCTTGGAGGGTCAATGGGTCTTGCAGCCCTTGGGCTGGGCTGATGCCCAAAGAAGGCAGCCCCAATTTGCTGAACAGCTGGGAAGGGATGGCCCAGGGGACTTGCCAAATGGGGCCAACCCTAATGGGTCCCACCTCAAGGGGAACTGCAGGGAAGGCCACGACCAGAGGGGGCCAACATGGATTCACCTGCAATGAGTAGCTTTTATTGTAGAGGTTCTTCACAGGAACATCAGCTCCGTCCTCCGTGCAGTTGCTGTATGGCCGGCTGAGACGGTGGGATGTGGTCTGCAGCATGACAAAAAAGAGCTCTGTTGGGGATACGCCTGGGGGAACCCAGGGGAGGGGGCTTGGGACCACCAGGGGAACATCCTTCTGCCAACTGTTCCACTGCTCCAAGAGGGCTTCTTTCTGACCTGCCCAGGAGACGCAGCTTTGAGCAGGTCAAAGAATGTGTGAAAGCCCCATTTCCCACAGAGCCTCTCAGCTGGGGGAGCCTGTCCCACTTCCTGGGCCAGAGACCCCGAGTTGCTGGCACTCACAAAGTGCATCCCGATGGAGGTGGCCGTGGCTGTCTCGATCTCAGTGCCGATATCCTCAATGAAGGGGTACTCGTCCTGATCGTGGATGACAATCTTGGCTCCCGTGGAGGTCACCAGGAAGGGGTTGTAGTCGGCCTCTTCTATGTACAGGATCACCTGCAGCCCTGGGCAGAGAAGTGGGAGCAACCTGAGGCCCTGCAGGTAGAATGAGCAGGACCAAAGGGGGCAGGTTGGGAACACCTTGGCCTGCTTTTCCCACAGCATGTCCAGTTGCTTACAAACACAGTTATCCCTACCAATCTACAAGACATTCAATCGAATTAAAGTTTTGATTGCAGCCAACTGCTGCCATCTACTGATCATCCATATTTTTTCGGGCCAGCTCTATTAGCCTGAGATGAGACACCGTCAGCCATTTAATCCCAAGGAGGAAGCCTCAGTCCAGAACGGAGTTCCTGTGGAGCACAAGGCTTCCTGCTGCTAGGACAGAGTCGGAGCAGAGGCTTCGAGTCCAACTCCTCTCCCTGGATGGGCCCATTCAACCTGGACAAGGTTTGAACAGAGACACAGAGGCCCAGGACAGGGCAGGAAACCCCGTATTTCGATAGATGGTGGTGCCCTGAGCAGTAATATCAGTCTTCTGTGTAAATATGTGCTGAGAGTTTTTTCCCCTTTCTGTTCAATCCTGTCTGATTCTCAGGGACTGCCTGGACAGGTCCCTGCAGTTTTCTTGGCCAGGTTTTTCAGAAGTGATTTGCAATCTCCTCCTATCTGGGGCTGAGAGAAAGTGGCTGGCCCAAGATGACCCAGCTCATCTGGTGCAGAAAGGCAGGGGGAGAATTCACCATCTCCCAGTTTCTAGCCTGGTGCCTTAACTATGACACCAAACTGCCTCTCGTCCTGTGAATAACTCCTCTAAAAGGGATGGTTTGGGTGGTAACAAGCCGTTTCCAGAGAAAGGGACGCTGGCTTTATTCCAAAACAAGACAAGGCCATAATGTGCATCTCCTGATCAGAAATAATGTGGAGGAATTCCTAAACAAGAGCCAAGGAAAGAAGCAGTTCAGCCTTGAAAGTCAGTTATTGTGTTTCTCATTCATTGAGCAAGTATCCACAGCTTTTTCTCCCACCAATAATTCTACTGGGCTTCCCTGAACAAGCCCTTCCACTGATTAGAGCAGCCACAGACTCTGAGCAGCTGTCCATCATATCAGGGAAGAACATGCTGCTCTGCCATTCTGTGCAATAATTGGATCACAGGTTGAAAAGAAGCCTTTTGTCTCCAACAACAAAAAGAAGTAAGAGGCCGCAGAAACATGGCTAGTTACCCTCATGCATGGCAAAGCTGTTGCTGTTCACTTTAATTTGCAGATTTATATGGGGGGAATCTCTATCTACTCAATCAACTCTGAAAGCCTAAGCAGTCATTTCAAGGTTTTGTACTTCCAGTTCCAACTCACTCATTTGGGATTCAGGCCAGTGAACCCCTTTACATCCTTTGTAGGAGACCCTGGACTCTAAAATAAAATGGAAGAGAGGAGGAGGAGGAGGAGGAGGAAGAGGAAGAGGAGGTTGTTGGAAGACTTAAGACTGGAAACCTGAATGTCAGCTCCTGAAGAAAAGGACCAGCAACCATGGAAGTAGCAGAAAGAGCTGCTGGTACAAAAGTCTCATCAGAACTGCTGACTGCTGGGCACCCCGGGCATCTGAGGCTGGAGATGTGCCTGGAAGTTTTATAAACTAAATGGAGCAGCTCCACAGAGCCTTGGGTGGCACAGAGGTGGAACCGGGATGCAGCTTAGAATGAAAGATGCCAGATGACAACAAATAGGCCAGGCGGCGGCACCAGCAGAGCAGGATATGGGCGTAAAGGACCAGAAAGCCCAAGAAGCTCAAGGGCCACCCCAAGACAGCAACTGGGGCAATCCTCGACCACAATTCTCTGTTTCTCAGTATCCTCTTTCAGGAGGGTGGTTGTTAAAGGGGCTTACATGAACCACAAATACCAAATGAGTAGCGAGTAGGTACTTGAGTAGGCATCAAGAATCAGGGATGCCAGTAAGGTTAATTAGCTGCGGCCACAATAAGCGTGAGGAGAGAGACACGATTAGCAGGGCTAAGAACCAGGCTGCCAAGATGGCCACCACCCAGAAGTGGGGACCAGGCAAACGAAGGCCCTCAGGGGACCTTGGATGGAGGCGGCCTTGGCCAGCTGGACAACCCATTCAAGGAGATGACAGCCTGACGTGGAAAGGATACCAGAACAAGAGTAATCGCAATCCTGATGTGCAAAAGATCTCAGGCCTCTGGAGCAGGAGAGATATTGGTCCTTTGTTAAGATGGCTGGTGTCCAGCAATAAAGAAGCCACGGTTGCTCCAAAGATTAAACTTAGCTGTGGTCTCGGAGAAACAGGTGGGGAGGAGGGGGTCATCTGGTGATGGCTCCATCGGGGACCCAAGTGGTCCTGTTGCCAGATGGGCTACCCCAACCTCCTGCTTCCGAGGAGCTGATCCTCACTCCCTCCAGGGAAGATCCTCCCTCCGCTGCTGGCTCTGAGCTGCCCCTGGGTGCCCGGTGGGGGGCTGGGGACTTCTGCCTGGGGTGGGAGACTGGGAAGCAGGAACCCAAGCGTTTCCCGACCCGTCTTGGACAGAGAGGCCGCCTTTACAGGGCAGGAGAGGCCACGTTGCAAAAGCGCTCCTGAAAAGGCCAGGTGAAAAGAAAAGGTGGGCAGAGCCCTGGAGTTCACAGAGGGCCACTCCACGCCCACAGGCGGAGGGGCCACGAGAAGGACAGAAGCAAACAGGAGACAAGCCACCCCGAAATGAAACCCCAGAGAAGCCAGTCAGAGAAGTTGCCAGCAAAGGGCCCAGCTTGCTCTCTTCTCCTTTGCTCCAGCGTCAACCTGCGGCTCTCACCGTTCTCGCTGCCTCCTGTGGACGTGGTCAGGATCTTCCCCTCTTGCCCACTGTTGAAGGTGTAGCAGTTTCCATGGAGAGGATGGTGGAAGGAAGTGAAGTTCCTGAGAGAGGCCATATAGGAAACATTCTACTAAGACTGTTATGCACACCATTTTCCCAAACTAAAAACATGTGGGAGAAACATTGTGTTTCTACTGTCTGGCAACCAGAACAGGAATCTGGCTTTGTGACGGTGCTGCTCTCCCTCTTCCTTGTTTTCCAAACGGAGAGCTGAGCCTGAAAGGCAGAGAGCTTAACTGGGCCAGTGACAAACACACATGCCAGGCCTGGCCGGAGTTTTTCTGCCAATTAGTTGGTGGGATGAATCTGGTGGCTGCCCAGTGCAGATCCTGAAACCGAGTTCAGCCTGCGAGCTAAGCTGGCAGTGCAAATGTAGCCCTTCCCTCTGAGCTGGCCAGTGACTGGCATGCTCTCCCCCCTCTCTCTTGGGTGAAGCTCCCCAGGTGCCCACTCTTGCCTTCCCTTGGCCCAGAGCTGACCTGGCGTCACAGGAGTCCCCGTCAAAGAAGCAGCTCAGCAGCAGCTCCTCTGCTGAGTAGCTCATCCTCTCCTTCTCCTCCGCATCGATCTGAGCCATGATGTTCATGTAGTGCAGCTTGTACCACTCCTGGATGGCGTTGACACCCGAGCTGAACGTGTACAGGGTACAGTCGCTCTTGTTGCTGGTGTCACACTGCAAGAAACACAACAGGCTGGGGAAGGTCTGGAGAAGGAATCCAGGCCGATCGCCACACTTTGGAAAACTTTTCAAAGCTGAGCTGTGTGCACATCGGAGGCACCCTCGCTCTCGCTCTCGGCACTCTGCGTGGGGCATGGCTCATGTCAGAGCCAAGGGGTGGGCCTCCTCCTAGCCACAAGCCCTGCCGCTAATTCTGACACCAGAAAGGCACCCCTGGAAAGACCCCAGCTGTCCGGGAAGGGGAACTCACCAGCTGGAAGCCCACAACGTCTTGGGGGCTTCTGACGTTGACTATGCTGGAGCTGCCCGAGATGATGCCAGCACTGTTCCGCCGCTTGTACCCAGCGGAGACATTGACGGTGGGCTTGGCGTCGAGGCTGTCCAGTTTCATCAGGGGAAACTGCCTGAGAAACTTGCTCTTCTCGGGGTGCTGCCTGCCCACCTCCCGGCGTTCCCGTGGCTTGCTTCCTGCCCCTGAGAAATTATACAAGGACTCCAGGGCTGCCATGGTCTCCTTGTCCAGTTCTGCAAGGTGTTCTTTTATGGCACTGTACCTGCGCAGGAGAAGGAGGGGAGGAAAGGTTGATGGCGGGCAGAAACCCCCCCCCCCAATTGTCTTCCTCTCTCTGCAGTATCGGTCCCTTGCTGCAGATTCCCACCAGCCCTCAGCACCTACTTGTAAGGATTGATGTTGCAGATGGTCACGGCTGGGAAGCGCAGCTTCTGGAACTGCACTGTGACGGAGACGGAGGCCGTGTAGTAGTTGATGACCAGCTGGGCACAATACCACAGAATCAACCCCACGGCTGTCAAAGTCAGGATGATCCAGAGGACCCGGCGTAGACGTCCCCGAGAGACCACAATGCGCCGGCAGCCATGGGTGTTGGTGTTCATGCAGTACCAGTGCATCAGCTCTTTCAGGGTGGGGGCCTGAGGGCCCGTGACGGGCAGCGTCTTCTTGATCTTAGCCTTGATCTTCTCCGCGGGAGCCATGCTGCCCAGTGGTCACTGTCCTGAGGGGGGGGAAAGGAAGGGGAAACTCTGATGCCTTCAACCAACCTGTGGGGCCGGCTCTAATCCCTCCAGGGCCCCTTCTGGGCTTCAGCAGAGCGAGGGGTCCAGGGGGCAGGGAAACCTCTCCTCCTCCTCCTGCTTGGAGGCTCACGGACCGGGGCTCGGCCCTACCTCGCCCAAAGGACAGCTCTGGCTTTGGGGGGAAAGGAAGGGCAGGGAGAGATCGGGGCTTTGGGCGCCTCCCTGGGAGCCAAGGGGGGCTCCGGCCGTCCTCCTGCAAGAGCCGGCGGCTCTCAGCCCCCTTTCGCCAAGGGAGCAGCCAGCTACGCGAGCCGGGCGCCGAGCCAGGTCGAAGGGGGTCCGGAGGTCTCCTCCGGCGAGCGGCCGCGCTCCTGCCCGGAAGAGGCTGCTCTCCCGCCGCCCAGACTGCGCCGCTGAAGGCGACCCGACGCTGACGGCTTCTTCCGACGGGGCAGCTGGGCTTCGCGGACCGGCGGCGGCCCCGGAGGAGTCGCGGCAGCCCCAGCTCAGCCCGCGTCGCTCCCCGGGCGGGCGGGCGGCAGCGGCGCGGCTCTCGGCTGGCCGTCGAGGAAAGGGCCCAAGGCGGACGGGCGGGACGAGGCTCTCCCCGCTCCCCAGCGCGACACCTGCGCCTCGGCGGCCCCAGTGGGGGCCCCGCCGGCCCCGCGTCTCACCTGCCAGGCGCCGCGCCCGAACCGCCGGAGCTCTCCGCGCTGTGCCCGCCGCCCGCCCGCCGTCGCGCTCTCTCTCTCGACTCGGGCGGCGTCCCCGCCCCGCCGGCTGGCTGGCTGTCCCGCCGGCCAAGCTGCCTCCCGGGCACCGGCGGTGCTGAGGCGGCCCCTGGCGGCGGCGGCGGGTGGCGCGGCAGCCGGTCCCACCCGCTCTGCGCTAGCCGGGCTGCGCCCGACCAGGCTGAGGGGGCGAGGGGAGGGCGCCTGGGAGCGGAGTTCTGGGCCACGCCTGGCCCGAGCCTGTGATTGGCGCAGGGACACCCAAGTGGCGGTCAGGCCGAGTCCGGGAGACGAAGGGACGGCAGGACAGGACGGAAGCGCGGGCTGAGAGGCCAAGATGACCTCCAGTAGGAAGGGAGTTGGGAGCCCCGGGGACCTCGGCAAGAAGCCCAGCTAAGTGGAAGGAGCCCCAGGAAGCCGCCAGGAGGGCTGGCTGGGGATGGACGGAAGAGAGGGGGATTGTCCGTCGGACAAAGACACTTGGGACGCTGTCCAGGTGCACAAGGGGAAGCTGGCCAAGAATCCCTTTCCAGGCCATAATAATGGGCATAAATTGCAGCGACCTAGCTTCCATCTAAACATACAATTTTTGATGGTGAGTTCTGTATGACAATGGAATGGCCTACCTATGGAGGTGATGGGCTCTCCATCCCTAGAAGATTTTAAGATGCTGAGCAATCACCTCTCCTGGGTGGCTTTCCTGCCCATGACAGAGAGCTGGACTAAAAGATCCATGGGGTCCCTTCCGACGCCACAATTCTGTGATTCTGCAAACCCAGCTCATGATCTTTCAACACTCCTCTTAAACAGACAAAGGTTTCGTGTAATACAGTATGTGGACTTAATTGCCATCCTTCACTCTGCAGGTGACCCAGGACTAAATCAGTTTCTCCTGCTATCAAAAGGACCCCAGTTTTATGCACCAAACCAAGCAAACCCAGCCTCTGGTCCTGGTCCAGTTTGCCCCAGCCTCCCCAGTTTATTCAGAGACTCCTAACAGCAGAGAGTGCCCCTTAGAAGCGAGGGCTCTGGGCTTCCTTCCAGCCATCCCCTGCCTGGGTTATTTATTTATTTATTTATTTTCATTAACTTATATGCCGCCCTTCTCCCCATGGGACTCAGGGCGGCTCACAGCATGTTAAAACAATATAAAACATTTCCCCTATAAAAGCCAATTAAAAACCAAATATTTATAGCTGTGTCTTATTAAAATCATTAAAATTGTCCCTATTTAAAATTCACCCTAGGTCAGTCCCGCTTGCTGAAAAAGCCATGTCTTGAG